GGAGCTGCTCATGGAGAGTTTATATGTTAGAAGCAGGATTTAGATTCTATCCTGGATTTTACAGGAAGCCACTGAAGAGAAGCTGATACAGGAGACATCTGATCTGGTACTGGTTCTGTCAGAACCCTGCTGCAGCATGTTGGATCAGCTGGAGGGTTCTGAGAGAGTTATTGGGACATCCTGATAATAAGGAACTACAATAGTCCAGTCTAGAAGTTCTGAATGATGGACTAGTAAAAGGCTAATGCTACCTGGCTAGCGTCATCTCCATCAGGTGTCTTTCTCTTCTCAGAGAAATATGTGAACAGGTTCATCTGAAGATGCAGTCAGCAGGTCCATCATGGCGTCTAGGTGTTAGCTTCATGCTATCAGTTAGCTTACTCACGTTAGCCACACTGAGTTGGCCCCGGGTCCAATTAACTTAACATACCGATGTGCTACGTAACGTTAGCTGCCCATCAATGTTTAGCTAATGTCTATTTAACTTGTAAAATCTATTCTGAGTTACCATAAGCTGATAAGTCTACCTTTCCTCCGGTGAGTCGCTGCCCTGTTCTCCAGGACGACCCTCCTCTGACTCATACCGATTTTTCACCAAGAAGAACCAGGTGCTAGTTCCAGTACTTAGTTGGTTCAAATCTGGCACCTCCAAAGAACCTGTTTGCTTTTCCATCGGCAAGGGGCCAAGTTAGAGCCATACGTCACTGCATACGTAGCCGTTTACTGAACAACGCTCACACCACATGGAAGTCCACACAGGACTCCAGACTGACTCTTTTTTTTTTTCTATTTTACCAGTGCAACCAACTTTCCCATTTGTTCACACTTCCCACCTTGTCACAGGCAAAACATCTGACCTGCTGCACATGTTCTTATCCATAGACTCTACAGTTTCTACGATGTTCCCTGAACGCCCCACACAGCAGGCTGCGCTAGCTGCTGCCGGTGGCCGCGGTGCTCAGGCCGGTGTGCGACCAGAGATGACTTTAACAGAGTGAACCAGGAGGTTCTGGTGCAAGATCTGTCCAGGATGAAACCCAGTCATTTTTTCTCATGCGGTCTTTTCCATGAGCAGAATAAACAACGTCACTTTCAAGGTCATGCTCTCGCAAGCAATTAACATTGTTTTAAACATAGACATGTATAATAAAGGCAAGATGTCTTAAGGTGGTGTTTTGAGCGGGATCACCGGCGGCCATCTTGATTCGGGGCAGCTCTCTGGAGGAACCTGTGGTCTGTGAAGGAAGCTGAGTGATCTGCACAAACCTAAATACTCTGATCTCACTAACATCCTGACGGATTTACAAACGGTTTGGTTTCTTACAAACTTTATTAAGGTGGCAACAATTCAAATGACAAAAATACAAATAAAATACACAACAATTAAAATACTAATTGTTGCTGGCTGTGAGAGCGTAACATCATTATCCATCAGTTATAGCTACACCTCTGACGTTTAGAACAAACCAAACCGTCTGGAAATCGGTAGAAAACTGAGCAAGTTGTGGTTGTTTAAAAAGTCCATGCACCACCACAACACAATGCTATGGGTGAGTGAGCGGACCGAGCCAAGATGGCCGCCAGTGTGGCCGTGCGATTCCATTGGCCGACAGCGCGGACGAGACATCTAACCTTTATTAGACTCATCTATGGTATTAACCCCCAAAGAGTAGAGACTGAGCAAGATAGCTATCTATAGTTTACCTTCTTATTCACGAGCACTGACCCAGTGCAGGACGCTGCTGTGAAGGTGGAGACACGCGGTGGTGGTGTGTTTGTGACAATAAAAAAAAAAAAGAAAAAGAAATTTGAAGGAGCAGCGGCTAGGATTTAGGAATGGCGGCTTGCCACTCCTAAATGAATGTGTGAAATTGAATGAATAAACACCCAGGATAGTACCAAAGTACTGCCTGACACTACAGTTAAATATTACATTTAAAATGCAGCACAGAGAGGCTGAAGAATAAATAAAATCTTCTCTCCTAAGTGTGAAGCAAATACAGGCCTTTCTTTCTTTAAGTGCAGAAGATTCTTCGCCTCAGACAACCTCAGCTGGATGTTCATGTTCTCTGTAGATCTTAGATCATATCGGACCAGATGTTCCCAGTGATCAACATCATGGCTGGAAGGAGAAGACACAAACAGAGACAAAGATCTGCATGAGCTGATCAGGGTTCTGTGGTGGAACGGCAGCTCGGTTTAGTTTCTGCTCATCCTTCCTGTCTGCCATGAGACGGCAGCAGTTCACAGCCTGTAATCACGTTATCGATCCGTTCTGATTGATCAGCTGTGACCTACAGGGAACTAGTCACAGACAACAGGTAGCTCATTATGATGCTGACCGACCTGATGGAGCATCAGTGTTAACTAGTCAGGAACCGTAACCAGAGGTTTACAGAACAGCTTTAAACACGATGTCACATCCTGTTTCTCCGTCAGAGGCTCCAGTCTGATGGTAACCTGCAGGAGCTTCAGCCGCAGGAACGCAGGTCGCTGCTTCAGATGGAACATCGTCCAGATGTGGACAGAANACCTTTCAAAATAAGACCAGCAGCAAACAGGCGTCCGCTCTAAGAGTCCTGGTTTGAATCCCTCCGTACTCCTGACTTAATAACACATAAATATGGGATTTAATCAGCTGTAGAGGAAATATGCTGAAACAATGAATTCATAGGATTTAAATGAAGCTAACAGTGTAGCAGTGCTGCTTCTCTTATACGCTGCTGTTGGCAAACCTGAGCTGGACTCACTGCTTCATGATAATAACTAGTTTAGTTTCCTGTTTGTAATATACATCAGAGTGGTGGTGATGAGGAGGTGTTCTACAGAGAACAGGAAGAGTAAAGCAAGGGAAGAGAGATTCTTCAGTGAGCATCACTTTATTTTCTGGTAGTAATAATAATAATATTAATTACTAATATATCAATCATGTATTCATACTTGTGGCCACATGTGGGTTTGCTGTGTTACTGATCTCCACAGTATATTCTTATTACTACATAGATGTGGAATCCTACAAATGGACCTTAGCACAACATTTATTTTAAAATAATTCAGCAGTTTGAATATCTAGTTCAATGTAAATGACTGTGTTTGTAGCTAAATGGACTTAAAGGGTTTCAGGTAAAACGGCTCATAAAGCTTCACGATGTGACTCAAACCCTCATCTGAAGTAACTACTGATCACACACATGATGACGTCAGACCTTCTGGATGTGTTTCTACAGCAGACCCATCATCAGTGAGTCCATGAATCACTGCAGCTCTACGGTCAGCGAGCACACACCTCTTATTATGAACAATAAAACAACAACAGAGTCCTCAACACCTGAATTCAGTGTGCTGAAGAACAGTCACTGGTTCTGATTCAACACAAACTACAGCCACTGATAGGATCTAAAACTGAATCTAAAGACACTCTAATGGAAGTGCAGGATGGACCCATGTTCTCTAGCTGGACCTCGTAAAGAGCAGAGGAGCAACTTTCACTGGTGAATACATCTGCAGGGCATCTTTTAAACATGGAGGCAAAACAAGAACATGACAGCGACTGAAGAACTGAATCACTTTGACCTGAAACAGAGATGAGCTTCTATTAAATGTTGCTCTAACCAAGAGCAGACCAGAACATCTTCTATCTGTGCACAGAACAAGAAGAAAGCCCACAGGTTCTCAGCCTCACAGAGCTCTGAGGGGAGAGTTTGGTTTGTGGCTACAAGTACTGTGAACAGTCACACATCAGACAGAGGAAGCAGCCTGGTTCCTGTTTGGTTCTCTGCTGCTCAGGACCGACACCTGGTGGTGAAGACCGAGTCCTGCCATCAGCGGTCTCCCTGCACAGCTTTAACAGACACTTTCAGACGCAGAGGGACCTCATTCACCCAGAATCTGTCACATTCACAAGCTGGAGAGTTAAANAGATGGATGGTCTGATATGAAGTGCTGAAGCCACAATTACATTTTCCTCCAACATGTGACCTGTTGATCAGACGCTGCTGTCAGCAAATTAACGGCTTCAATAAAGATCGTATAACGACCTGAGAAACCTCAACATGTATGCATGTTAGTTACATATTAAAACGTAATTCAGCAGAGCTGTGTTCCAGTATTTCATTTAATTTCGTTCACGGTAAAGATCATCAGAGTAGATGAGCTGAGGTGGTGACGTCATCGAGTACGCTGCTGTCCCAATTGCACATAAACGGCGACGCGTTCTCCCGGATTCGCTGGACCGTTCTCACGAGTACAGACTAGCGTACCTGAGTAGTGAATACGGCTATAGTGTAGTGAAACGCTCCTGGTCCTGTTCTGGAAGTTTCGAGCGACGAGGCGTAGCGTCGCCTGCGTACTTTTCGCTGAATGGTTTTCATAATAAAAGCTTGCGGAGCCGCCATGTTGGTTCGCTGCTTCTGCAGGACTGGTGTCTGGTGATTGGAGAAGCGGCGGTCATGTGACTACGGCTGGCGCACATCTCTGAAGCGGAAAATAGTCAGAAGCGACGCGATCACCGTGCGGGTCATATCGCCCCTGTAGACACGTAGCTTGACCGGACACGTAGCTTGACCGGACAGAGAACCGGACTGACAGTGACGGGTCGAACTGAGCAGAAGTACTGAGATGGCAGCGGCTCCGATTCCCGGTGAGTGGACTGAAACGGTCCGGACCTCTGGGCCTCCGGAAATTTTACTTTCACTTTGTTTGGGCGGTTCGTGTCTTTGTGGTGAGAGCTGCTCAGACGACACATCTGTCTGGTGGTTTGTTCTTCTACAACTAAAGCAGTCACAGACAGAAATGGTCTCCATAAGGTCTCTTATGAACTGGGTTCTGCTTTAGACTGAGTTTGTTCTCATGAAGGAGGCGTTAACGCTTCATCTGACTCTCCTGATGTACTGAACGGACCAATCACGTTCCTCCTGCGTCAGTCAACAGGGAGATGGACTATGTACTTTGAGGAACATAAACGTTATAAAGAGCTGCTGCTGTGAATGATGCAGGCCAGAACGCTGCTAGAAACCTGTTCATCATGTTCATGTAATTATTTTACTGAGTGATGCAGCTGATGCAGAAAATCACTTTAATTTTTGCCCAAATCAAAGTGAATCAATGCTCCTGATTGGATGTTCTATGTTATAAATACCAATAGATAATCAATGTTCTAATCAGTGATCTATCAGCTTCAGGACTAGCAGAGTAAACGGACCAAACACAGAAACATGTTGATGTGATTTCTGCATCAGCAGATGAACACATGGAGGTTTCCATGGCGACAGGATGCCTCCAGCGTGTGATGCTGTAACTGCTTCATTCAGTGTTTCAGTAACGTACAGATCAGCAGCTTCACAGAGAAAACATCATCATCAGGAACCAGTTAAAGGGAGACGCTGAGCAGGACCTGGACCTGGTTAGCATCAGTTACCATGGAGATGTAGCTTCACAGCACCAGTTACCATGGAGATCTAGCAGGTTAAAGCAGGTTTTGTCGTAAAACCCTCTGAGTTCTGCTCTGTGAAGCAGGATCTGAGGTTCTGCAGGTAACTTCAGGTGTAACTGTGGCTGTTACATCACCATGGTAACTAGACTCCCAGGCTAGCCAGTGTGTTGTTTCAGCATCGACGCCTCCAGCATGAAGCCAGAAACAGCTGTGTTTGCTGTAGTTTAATGCTTTCTTTGTCTCTGTCACAGCACCAGGGAGGACAAGGAGACAGAGTATGGATGAACCCATATCAGGTCTGAAACCTTTAATAATTTTATGATTTGTTCATCAATATTAACTAACTCACTTTCACTGTGTGATGCAGCACATGAAAGTCATCACTCCAGAGAATGTGTGTCCACCGCTCTAGAGTCCAGTGGCAGCTGCTTTCCACCACTGTATCCGACGCTTTGCATTGCACTTGGTGATTAATGGCTTGGATGCAGCTGCTCTGCCATGGAAACCCATTCCATGAAGACCTCTATGCACGGCTCTTCAGCTAATCTGAAGGCCACATGAAGCTTGGAGGTCTGTTGCGACTGACTCTGCAGAAAGTTGGTGACCTCTGCTCCCTATGTGCCTCAGCATCTGCCGACCCCACTCTGTCAGTTTATGTGGCCGACCACTCTGTGGCTGAGCTGCTGTTGTTCCCAATCACCTCCACTTTGTTGTAACACCACTGACAGATGACTGTGGAATATTTAGGAGCAGGAAATGTCACGACTGGACTTGTTGCACAGGAGGCGTCCTATCACAGGACCACGCTGGAGTTCACTGAGCTCCTGAGAGCGACCCATTCTTTCACAGGTGTTTGTAGAAACAGTCTGCAGGCCTTGGTGCTTGATTTTATACACCTGTGGCCATGGAAGTGATTGGAACACCTGTTTTTGAATATTTGGATGGGTGAGTGAATACTTCTGGCAGTATAGTGTACATATGACCAGAGGCCACTAGAGAGTCATCGGTCCCGTCTATGTGTGGACAGTCTGTAGCTCCAGTGCTGAGGTCTAACCAGTTCATATCTTACAGGTGAGCTAGGAGCAGCCTCTCCTCAGAATGACCAGGTTTTAGGGTCAGTCAGTGCAGAAACAGCTCCTCCAGAGGTCAAAGGGCACTTTTTCAAAAGAGACACCACAGCTTCTTCTATCCAGAGTTCCTCCTTTCGGGGTGTGTGATGTTGGAGACACTTCACAGGTGTTTGTGTCACTCAGGTGTGTTTCAGGGCTTCGAGCTCAGTTTGCTTCCAACAGTTTGTCTGTTTCAGCACTGAAAGTAACCGAAGCTGTTCTGAGGCTGAGCAACAAGAATAAAACAGGGACGTGCTTTAAACCGTCGGCCTGATTGTTGGGCTGCCGGGGCTTTAACTCTGTTCTGTGTTCCAGTGTCAGACATCAGACTGGTTCTAGTGGGGAAGACTGGAGTAGGGAAGAGTTCCAGTGGAAACACCATACTGGGAAGAAGCGCTTTCAGAGCAGACGTCAGCCAGTCCTCAGGTAACACTCTTTATTCTGTTGTTGGTATTACACATTAGCATCCTACTCATGGTCCCTGAAGCAGGAATGAACTGTGAACTGTCGCCATTATTCCTGGTTTTAGTGTGACTCTACTGTCAGGTGTGTTTGTCTCAGTGTTATTGTGTGGGCAGCCTTTGGTTCTCCTGAAGTCCACAGTGAGCTCCAAGGTGTTTCTGGTGCACCACACTGCCAGGTGTTGGACCTGTTCTCTACAGGTCAACTCATCATCACCAGGTTTTGACACGTTTATCGTGTATATGTGGGGCCACAGCTCAGTCAGCCCCACTGCAACACCTAAAGCAGATGGTTGCTGGAGAGCTTGAAGGCCCAACCTTGTGCTGGGTAATCCAAAGCCCTCAGCTTTCAGCCACTACGCCTCCTGCTGGCGTAAACGTGTTCCAGGGCCAGTGTGGTCTGCTGATGGCTGGACTGTGCTGATGAGTAAATCTGGTCTTTTCTGTCTTCAGTGAGCAAAGAGTGCTGCAAGCAGCAGGACAAGCTGTTCAGCAGGATGGTGTCCGTCATCGACACCCCCGGCCTCTTCGACACCTCTCTGCCTGAACCCGCCGTCAAGAGGGAGATCTCCAAGTGCATCAACATGTCGGCGCCGGGGCCCCACGCCATCCTGCTGGTCATCAAGGCGGGACGCTTTACAGAAGAAGAAAGAGACGCTGTAAAGAAGGTGGAGGAGATCTTTGGAGAGGACGCCTGGAGGTACACCATGGTCCTCTTCACCCACCGAGACGAGGTTCGGTCAGATTTTCATCAGATGTTGGAGCAGGTGGGACCTGAGCTGAAGGAGATCCTGAAGAAGGTGGGAAACAGGTACCATGTCTTCAACAACCTCAAAGCTGATGACCGCGGTCAGGTCCTGGACCTGCTGGAGAAGGTGGAGAAGATGGTGGCTGGTAACGGAGGGCAGTTCTACTCCAACTACACCTACCAGCAGGTGGTGGAGATGTTGGATCAGAGAGAGTCTCAGATCAGAGAGTTCTACCAGAAGAAACTGGAGCAGAAAATCAAAGCTGTGGAGTCAGAGTACGAGAGGAAGCTGATGGAGGCTCAGCAGGAGCGCCAGCAGGTGGAGGAGCGACACCAGGCGGAGCTGGAAGAAGTGAGGAGGTTCTACC